CACTATTTCTTTTGGTTATCAAGAGAGAGTCTGTATGGTTATTGAGAGACGGTTAGCCTGAAGCAGTTTTTTGAATTGTAAGGGAAAGAATTGTGGAACATGGGTATGTGTGTATATCTAATAATGGTGAAATGATCAGTAATTAAACCTCATATTTTCCATTCAGAAGTTGTTAAAAAAAGTCATAAATCATTAGATTCTTTACTACTTTGTTGAGAGAGTCAAATATTGTATGGCTTCGAGATTATATGAAGGGAGAAAACCATTTAGGTGCTCCTTTTTTCTTTTTTTCATGAAGCGGTGTTGATGACTCTAAAATAATTTGGTAATTCTAAGCGTTCCTTAACAACTTAAATATATGAAATGAAGGGCAAATATGAGATTTAGTGGATTTTAAATTACGAGTCCCTTAAGATAAGGTCCACACGCATGGTGACCCTTGTTTTGCTGTTGGACAACTATAAAAGTTGAACCCTCATCTGACCTCTCCCTTTTTATGCCATACCAGCAATTACACCACAACAGAGATACAACATTTTGGTACGGCCCTTAATGTCTTCAAAAAATTTTACTTGGGTATTGGTCTCTGAGACTCTTTTTACTCTCCACGGCTTTGCCATTGGCAGAATATTAAAATGGACGAGGAAAGCTTTGCAGAATCCAGAGAACTAGCCAGTCTATTTATCAGAATTGATTGGAATAGGGTTTCACTAGCCAATCAGTTGGATAAGTTCAATAAATTTGAATCTTATGTCTTTGCTGTAACTTAACTTTGAAAATGAAGATGTCCAACTTGCTTCCCCTCTTCTCAGCAAGAAATTCCATCTTTGATGCAGGTTTTTTACTTTCTTTATTGTTGATGGACATCCAAGATTATGCAGGGTTATCTGAAACCCTACAGATGCTTCCACCTCCACCTGGAAGTTTTTTAGATCGAGAAGAACTTATCCAACATGTTGGGGAGTTTGCCATATCCCAGGGATATGTTGTAACTATCAAGCAATCTAAGAAGGACAGAGTGGTAATCCTTGGCTGTGACAGAGGAGGTGTTTATCGTAATAGACGAAAACCTATTGATGAGGCATCTGGTGAACATTCTCGCAAAAGAAAAACAGGTTCTCGGCTTACAAATTGTCCATTTGAATGTGTGGGTAAAAAGGATGATGGCTTGTGGGTGCTCACCATTAAAAATGGTGAGCACAACCATGAACCATTGAAGGACATTTCAGAGCATCCTTCTGCTCGTCGCTTCACAGAGACAGAAGTGCTTTTAATTAAAGAGATGACAGAAGCTGGTTTAAAACCACGCCAAATTCTAAAGAGGTTGAGACAAAGCAATCCAGAGCTTTTATCTACGCCAAAGCATGTTTACAATGTCAAGGCTAAGCTCCGACATGGAAACCTTGCAGGTCAAGCCCCCCTCTACCAACTTACAGTTTGACACACTTTCTTTTGTTCATTTCTGTCTGGCTGTCTATCTATCTTTATTTCTTCACTTTTCATCATTTATACATGGTCACAAGATATGTACTACTTCATGTCAAGCTTCTTTATTTTTTATTTTCATCATTTGACTGCTCTGAATCTATTTTTATATGAACAGTGTGCTACAATCCTTGATTACTCTTTTCACCCCCTTCTCCCCTTCCCCTCTTTCACTGACGTGCTTTGTAATTGTTAGTCGTATTTATTCCCTTATTAAGAAGTAGGATAGTACCTTTACAGTGCTATTGTCCTAAGATTGATTGCTATGCCTACTTGACAAGTCAGAATACTTTCCATCAAGGCTTAAATTGGATTCTGCACTCCATTTTTTTTGTTCATGATTGGTGTGTCCTTTGATATCACATTGTTGATTGCTTATGCAGATAAAGGTGGTGATAAGTAATATTTTATGGATTGATGCTCATTATTGTGGGATCTGTTCTCTTTTATATTCTGTTTTTGAATGTTTTAGGTGTTGGTCCAATCTAGTGAAACTTTCAACTGTTCGTTCTCAAGAAAACATGCTGTTTTGGAAGATGATGTCGCAGGCTATGGTTAATATAAGATTAACATAGTGAGAGCTATGATATTTCAATTATTATTTTTTATAAGTTTTTAAAGTCTGTAAGTGAAGTGAGCTGAGAGAGATTGTAATGGTTCTGCTAAAGGGCATAAACAATTGGTGAATGTTTCTATTTTGCTTCAAGATGTTCAGTGTTATGAAATTGACAAGCTATCCCTTATGTCCTTCGCTTTAGAGCCCCAAGTATGCCTGATGTAAATTAGGCAGTTCTTGAAGGCTTTCTCTTTTTTTCTCACAAAAGACTGGTATTTTTGTGTTTCAGTGAAGAGATTCAAGACATTGAGACCTCAAGCATCTGTTGTGGGAAACATACATCTCCCGTCAACTAGTGAGCCATCTTGGAGGCAGCGCTACCCTCCGGTAAGCTTAGATGTGACTTAGATGATCTCAACTTAATGCCTGTTCTCGACTAGTGGGGGGGCAATGTTACATGTGTACATATACAGGAATAGATCATCATGTATTAGCCTTTATGCTTCTTTACTCCACCCTCCTCTCCTTGTGAGGTTATATATTTAGAAGTTATACTAGATTAAACCTCATTGATTATATCTAGCAGAGGGTTCCCAATCTCATTGGCGGTAGATTTGTTGATTCGCAATCATTGGCATCCATTGACATAATAAATCCTGTAAGTACAGAAAATGTCCAATTACTTTCTGTTTTCTTCCTTTCTTTCTTGCTTTCTTCTGTCGACTAAGTTAGTAATGAGTAAATGAATTTTTTTTAATCATTAATAGGCAACGCAACAAGTTGTCTCTCAAGTTCCTTTAACCTCAGCTGAAGAATTCAGAGCTGCAGTATTTGCTGCAAAAAGGGCTTTTCCATCATGGCGAAACACACCAGCTACCACCCGTCAACGTATCATGTTCAAGCTCCAAGACCTTATCCGGAGAGACATTGTAAGTGCATTGGGATGACAGTGATGTGAATCTTATCAAACTTATCACATTTCGTTAATGATAATTCGTAATTGTAATTATGTCCTAGGACAAGCTTGCGTTGAATATTACTACTGAGCAGGGTAAAACATTGAAGGATGCATACAGTGAAGTTTTACGTGGGCTAGGTTGGTGTCTTTTCTGCCTTCTTTCTTGAAAAAATATTTAAGGTTTTGAGCTCGGTTGGTTATGTTCATTAAAATTTTGCCTTTCTCTTGTAGAGGTTGTGGAGCATGCTTGTGGAACGGCAAGTCTGCAAATGGGGGAGTTTGCCTCAAATGTACCGAATGGAATTGACACTTACAGCATTAGAGAGCCACTTGGTGTTTGTGCTGGGATTTGTCCTTTCAACTTCCCAGCAATGATTCCATTATGGGTAAGACACTTGTGTTTTTTTCTATTTCTCTTCATGCCTTGCATGTCTCAGTGTTTCTATCTAGATATTTCTTCTTTGCGCTTACTGAAATTATACGCATTTCTTTGTGTTCATACCACAAGTGCGCACTGCGTGGTCATGTCTGTGCTGTGGTTTTGTTAGATACTAAATGCAAATTTTGTGGTTTTGGGATGCTTAGTGGATTTCATTACCCCGACTCGAGAAAATAATAGTAATTCCATATTTTGTGTCAATTTTTGCAGATGTTTCCCATTGCAGTTACATGTGGCAATACATTTATTCTAAAGCCACAAGATATGTACTACTTCATGTCAAGCTTCTTTATTTTTTATTTTCATCATTTGACTGGTCTGAAACTTTTTATATGAACAGTGTGCTAGAATCCTTGATTACTCTTTTCACCCCGTTCTCCCCTTCCCCTCTTTCACTGACGTGCTTTGTAATTGTTAGTCGTATTTATTCCCTTATTAAGAAGTAGGATAGTACCTTTACAGTGCTATTGTCTTATGATTGATTGCTATGCCTACTTGACAAGTCAGAATACTTTCCATCAAGGCTTAAATTGGATTCTGCACTCCATTTTTTTTGTTCATGATTGGTGTGTCCTTTGATATCACATTGTTGATTGCTTATGCAGATAAAGGTGGTGATAAGTAATATTTTATGGATTGATGCTCATTATTGTGGGATCTATGCTACTTATAATCTGTTTTTGAATGTTTTAGGTGTTGGTTGATGCTTTATTAATTCTTTGAGTGATTCTTTGATCTTCAAAAATAATTGTGAGTACAAAATTCACTTTTCTTTGTTTATATTTGATTCGTTATATTTATTTATTTGTATTTATTTAATATTGATTTGATTTTGTATTGGTATGAAGATGACAGATTGATTTTAATTGTTTTGATTAATTGGGTATGTAAGGTTTATGATTTTTTAGATGATTGATTAATTTTAATTACTTTGATTAGATGTATATGTAGGGTTTAAGATTTTTAGATGATTAGTTGATTGTAATAATTTTAATTAGTTGGGTATGTAAGGTTTGGGATTTTTTTAGACGATTGATTAATTTTAATTATGTTGATTAGACGTATATGCACGGTTTAGGATTTTTAGATGATTAATTGATTGTAATAGTTTTAATTAGTTGGATATGTAAGGTTTGGGATTTTTTTTTAGGTGATTGATTAATTTTAATTATGTTGATTAGATGTAAATGTAAGGTTTAAGGTTTTAGATGATTAATTGATTGTAATAATTTTAATTGATTGAGTATGTAAGGTTTAGGATTTTTAGATGCTTGATTAATTTTAATTATGTTGATTAGATGTATATGTAAGGTTTAGGATTTTTAGATGATTGATTAATTTTAGTTATGTTGATTAGATGTATATGTAAGGTCTAAGATTTTAGATAATTAATTGATTGTAATTATTTTAATTAGTTGGATATGTAAGGTTTAGAATTTTTAAATGATTGACTAATTTTTAATTATTTTGATTAGACGTGTATGTAAGGTTTAGAGTTTTTGGATGATTAATTGATTTTAATTATTTGCATTAGTTGGGTATGCAAGGTTTAGGGTTTTATTTTGGGTGACTTTATTAATTCTTTGAGTGATTCTTTGATCTTCAAAAATAATTGTGAGTACAAAATCCACTTCCCTTGATTTATATTTAATTCTTTGTTTTTATTTATTTATTTGATAGTAGTTTGATTTTGTATTCACATAAAGATGATAGATTGATTTTAATTATTTTGACTAGTGGTGTATGTAAAGTTTTGGGTTCTTAGATAATTGATTGATTTTAATTACTTTGATTAGTTGTGAAGGTAAAGTTTAGGGTTTGTAGATGATTGATTAATTTTAATTATTTTGTTTAGTTGTGTATGTAAGGTTTAGGGTTTATAGATGATTGCTTGATTTGAATTATTTTAATTAGTTGTTTATGCAAGGTTTAGAATTTTTATATGGATTGATTTTATGATTGTAATCATACTCATGATTATATAAAATTAAAATAAACTTAGAATCCATAGATATTGGTTAGAAGATGGATTGAGTCGTTGTTTTTATTTATTTATTTTTATTTGATGTTGGATTGATTTTGTATTTCCATGTAGATGATGGATTGATTTTAATTATTTTGATTAGTTGTTTATGCCATGTTTAGGATTTTATATGGATTTATTTTATGGTTGTAATTACACTCATGATCATATGAAATTAAAATTAATTAAGAACCTATAGATAAATTCCTTATACTCCACCATGACTCCATGCATTGTTGTTGTATTTGAGTGTTGTGAGAAAAAGTGTATAACAAAAAGTGAGGATTATGAGATTTATTTGAATGCCTTAGGCTTGGCATTGTTATGTTTATTCTCATGTGTGAGATGTTGTGTATATATATATTGTTGCCTCGTTCTCATGAGTAGACGAGTGCTTTGATTTGCGCGCATACGTATATGCTAACCATCCGGGGAGTGTGAGTCAAACTCAACAAATGCTAGAAGAAATGAAACTAGACGCATTATATGGTTGTTTACAGATAAGAAAATGGACATGAACAACTTTGTAGGTAATTCATGACAATGACCAAAAAATATACATGTTTCATGTATATTTCTAAATTTCTTCAGTATATATTTTAGAATATACTTGTATTTATACACATACACACATACACTGCACATATACTCTATGCCATTGCTATGACAACTTTGTTCATGTTCCTCTGAACTAAAGTACGTCTAGCTTATTGTGGTTTTCCATGTCTTCAACTTATGCAAGTGACTAAGAATGGCACAATTTTATACCTTTGAATCTTCTCTAAAATATTTAAACCGGCTTATTTCTCTCCAAGGGCACTTCACATGGACCAAAAGTTGGCACAAAAGATTGATGTTGGCCTTGAATGTAGTGCACGAGAAATAAGGGGAAGGAGAGGCAGGGAGGCAGAAGTTCACAAATGATGAAGATGAAAGACCAAAGAGAATACAGAAAACCAGCTGCAAGATACCTAGTTTAACCAAAATAGGTGTCTGTTATATGCATAAATGAAAAAATAACAATTTGGCGGCTGTTGTACTAAGTAATAAAGATAGCTAGCTCAGTTTTTTCTCATAATGCTATAAATTCATTAGATTAATCAGTCTAGTTTTTTGCAGGATGGTGGGTCTTACTAACTTTTTATGCAGGGCTGACCCACCATATTTTTATTTCTATATTGTCTATTCTATAATCAATTTATATTTCGTTGTATATGGACAAGAAACTAAATGCCACCGTATCTCGGGAAACTACCCATTCGTCTCGGTGCAGTTGGAACTACTTGTCTTGTCCCGTGATAAGAAATAATGTACTTTTTGTTTGTGTCTGGTGGACACGTGGGTGTCAATTCTTGTACTCATACCTGTATACTGACCCGTTTTGTCTCTTGGCAACTCGGGTGCGTTCTGTTTGAGCGCAGCTGAGATTCCTTTGCAGGATTAGTTGAGGCTACAGTGGTGACGAGAAGTAACTATAGTTTTTGGGCATATCTCTTAGATTTCTTTTGTTTTCTTGAGCTTAGGGTTGTAATAGTTTATGTATTTATTTATTTTTATGACTTTAGTATTGGAATGATTTGGCATGGTTTGTAACCATACTTTATTTAAGTTATTTTGACTTTGTATTGTTACTTTAATGTTGAGGTATTTGTTAGTTATGAATTTATGGTGGGTGGTTTAGTTTGTGTTTAGTTTTTTTGTTTCACCCCTAGGATTTGGATGATGGAATATGAATTGGGGTTTAGTCTTAATTTAATATTTAATTGTCCAAATTTTGGGGCGTGACACTAATGTGGTTGAACAAGTTCGCAAACCACATAACAAAAAGAGGAAGTTTACTGGAGATGATCCTAAACAAGGCGACAACAATGGCAACAGGAAGTTCAAAGGAAAATGCTATAATTGTGGCAAGACTGGACATCGAGCTTCTGACTGCCGCCGCCCTAAAAAGGATCGCGGAAGTACAAGCAAGAAGACTACCAATCAGGCCAATGTAACTAAACTAGATTACATCTCTGACGGAGTGAATGACATCAACCTCTCTGTTGTGGTGTCTGAGGCTAATTTGGTTGGAAATCCCAAGGAATGATGGGTTGACATTGGGGCAACTTGTCATATTTGTACGGACAAGAAGATGTTCACTACCTACAATAAGGCTGCAAATGGTGAACAACTTTTCATGGGAAATTCTTCTACTTCTACTGTGGCTGGACAAGGAAAGGTGATCTTGAAGATGACATCAGAGAAAGAACTGACCCTCAACAACGTACTGCATGTAGCTGACATCCGGAAGAATTTGGTTTATGGCTCTTTGTTAAGTAAAAATGGTTTTAGGCTTGTATTTGAGTCTGATAAATTTGTATTATCAAAGAGTGGTATGTATGTTGGTCAGGGATACGTGAGTGGTGGTCTCTTCAAATTAAATGTAAAGACAATTGTACCAAAAATTGCTATGAATAAGAATAACATATCTTTTGTTTATATTCTTGAGTCAAATTTATGGCATGGTAGATTAGGACATGTGAATTTTGATGCTTTGCGTAGATTAATTGGTTTGGATTATATACCAAAGTTTGAAATTAATCATAATCATAAATGTGAAATTTGTGTAGAAGCGAAACTAACTAAGACTCCATTTAAATCGGTTGAAAGGAAAACTGAACCTCTAGAATTAATTCATACAGATGTATGTGATCTTAAATTTGTTCAAACTAGAGGAGGCAAAAAGTATTTCATAACATTTATCGATGATTCCACAAGATATTGTTATGTTTATTTACTTAGAAGTAAAGATGAAGCCTTAGAAATGTTTAAACTCTACAAAACAGAAGTTGAAAATCAACTTGGTAAAACCATTAAAATGGTTAGAAGTGATAGGGGTGGTGAATATGATGCACCATGAAATGAATTTTGTGCTCAATATGGCATTATTCACCAAACTACAGCACCCTATTCTCCCCAGCAAAATGGAATTGCTGAAAGGAAAAATAGAACTCTAAAGGAAATGATGAATGCCATGTTACTAGGTTCAGGCTTTCCACAGAACTTGTGGGGGGAAGCAATATTGTTTGCTAATTATGTTCTTAACAGAATACCCCACAAGAAAACCAATAGCACTCCTTATGACTTGTGGAAAGGTTGATCGCCTTCCTACAAATACTTAAAAGTGTGGGGATGTTTGGCAAAAGTTGAAGTTTCTGTTCCTAAAAAGACTAAGATTTGGACCAAAAACAATAGATTGTGTGTTTATTGGTTATGCTCAGAATAGTAGTGCATATCGGTTTCTGACTTATAAATCAGAAATACCTGATATAAATGTGAACACTATTATAGAGTCAAGGAATGCTGTGTTTTTTGAACATGTCTTTCCTTACAAGAAAGGACAGGAATTAAGTTCACAGAAAAGAACTTATGATTGTACACAAAGTCAAGAGACTAATGACAATCAAACACAAGAGACTAGTAATAGTCTCGACCAACAGGATTTAACTGCAGAAGATGCTGTTCTATCTTACAACTCTTAATTTGGCCCGGTTTCTCCATGAAGAGGCTCCAGCACTTAAAGAGGGTGAAAGTGATCGGCAAGTTGTTGCCGCTGTAGATGCTTGGAAACATTCAGATTTCCTGTGCAGAAACTACATCCTAAATGGCCTTGACAATATGTGGTTAGCCAGTAAGTCC